TGTCCATCCGACCTACGAAAAATGCCCATCCGACCTACGAAAAAGGCCCATCCGACCTAAAAAAAGTACCCATCTGACCTACAAAATTGAGTGGCCGTCCAACAGCTGCAATTAATTTTTTTTACCCTATACTGCGCTATAGGCATATGACAAAAGCTGCTGAATAGGTCGGATGGGCAAGAAGATATGCCCATCCGACCTACACCTGTCGTAGGTCAGATGTTGCTGTAGGTCGGATGGGCAGTATAGCGGATGGGCAATAGAACGGATGGGAAGTGGAGCGGATCAACATTACCTATCTGTTCAAATATACAAATAAATATATTTGAGCAAAGAGCTTTATTATATAGATTGAAAGATATAGACGTAGGTAGTTTACAGACATCTTGTCAGCTATGAAAACTGTTTAAGACTGGCTCGAGTTTGAAGTGTCGCATCAGCTTGGCGTTTAATATTACCTTGCTAAATCTCCAGTACATTTTTGTGGCCTTAGACATGTACCTTTTAGAACTACACACTTGTTGATTTTATAACTTAAGGTCAAAAGAAGTACTTTGGAAAATGGTGATAGATCGTGAGCGCGTGCAACTTTTGGATCACTGGGTTGATGTATAGAACTTATCATATTGATAAGATTTCTTGAGAGAGTATCACAATGAATCCTTTAGTCCAACAGACAGAATCAGACTACAGATCTAATTCAATAATGGATTCATCATGGGGTTAGATCTATCTGAATAATCCAATAATTACTAAGATTGAATCAGGAATTTAAATTTTCGTTAGACATCATTTATCCCATTTTTTGAAAATGTTATGATTTTTATGATAAATTAAATTGAAAACCACCATATAGGCTTATCGGGCGCTTTACACAGGCAGCCGTAGTACATTTGAATTTCCGAGTCGGGTCAACCTTTTCTGTCCCAGTTTGTACTGTATCGCCCGGACATTGGTTAAATAAAGCAGACACTCAATAGGACTAGCCAGGGCAACAATGTTGACGCGGTTAGACTTTAGATTGAATTTACTTTTACTGTAGGCGCTTCAGGCCTCCATCCGATTCAAAATTCTAGCTTTTAATTGTTGCTCTAAAGTCCCCATTTTTAATCGTTTTCGAATAATTGCGGATTTTTTATGTTAAAAGTGGTGCATTTTCAAAAATAATGATAATTCACATTTTTCGACAACTGCACTTTTAACGATGACTGGGTCCGTTCGGTTCAGCCGTTTTGACGTTTATGGGATACATACACTTTAACTTAACTGACAGCAAATAGATCCAGGCTGCTATAAAAAGTTGCAGAATTTTCAAGTTTTGGTAGACCAAGACATAATTATTTTAAAACTATAAAGGCCTTGTTAGTTTTTGCATGCAGTTTCAAAGATGTAATTGGCAAAATTTTCATATATTTTTTGCGTGAGATCTTCCAACCTTCCGAGCACTGTGCCAGACAGACAGACGGACAATCCAAAGGAATTGAGTATTTGGAATCAATTTTAATTTACTTATTCCTATATCTTTGCAACCAATGTCGTGAATATAAGACATTTTAAACTGTAGATTTTGTTAAATCAAACAATTTTAGTTTAAAATATCAAACGTTTACATCATCAGGATACACAAATATAGGGATTAGAAAATTTAAGTTATGAAGTTCAAACGTTTCATTTTTTTCACAGATTCCCAGTTGAGAAGAAAGTTGTTAATCTAGAGAAAAAATTCCCCTAGATTCATGAATATATTAGGAAATCAGGAAAGGTTTAATGCCAAAATTGGGAGAGCTAAGCGAACCATGTCTGGACTGTTTTCAACAGAAGCATTTTAAGAAAATTAAGCGAGCCGGGTATGCTCAAATTTTGCAAATAAGTCATGCAAATTTGTAAAACATAAACAATATTTTAAGGGGGGGGTCACGGGACAACTCCCCACTCAGGTTTTAGTTTATACCAGTAGATATGAATCGAGTTACACTTTTTGCAAAAGTTTTTGTCAAACAACTCAGTATCGATTAATGCTATCCCTCCTTCATAATATCAGAATCCATTCCACTTAGATTAATTTTATAAACATCTTTCTTTGATCCTGGATAAAAGGAATTCTTTCAAGTAAATCTTAAAGACGAGGCAGAAAGGTTTACTTTATATTTTAAAATTCACCAAAATATATTTGCAGACCTTTATCTGTTACTCAGAATACAGGATTCAATTCGCTATTTCTTAGGATTTTAACAAGGTGAAATAGGATTTAAAAATAAGAAAATATATCCAATATCTTAGCATCAATCAAATATTAAGGGATAAAAAAATTTCCCTAATAAAGATTCCAATTGTAGTATGTCAACGTAAGGCTATAAACTAGATAGGCAGTTTTGTTTAAATTTTTTAAAAACCGTTTGTGAACCCCAAACAGGCGGGGGGGGGCGTCCGGCCCCTTCTAGTTTTTTTTACCCTAGTCCTGACAACATCTTGTTTTTTTTTTTTTACAAAAAGAAAGGATAAAGTTAAAAAGATATATTTTTCAATTATGAATAAAAGGTGAAAATGTACAAGCTCACAAAGTTACATTAGTGGCTCTTATACTATATAAGTAGGGATGGATAGTTTCTACTTCTTGAAAAACAATCGTTTTGTTTAAAAACGATGTAGAGAAAATCGAAACACGAAAAACTATCGCTGTCGAAAAAGATATTTTTTTTAATTTAAAAAAAACGAAGAAGCCGTTTTTTAGTTTTTGTTCGTCGTTTCGTTAATAAGGGTCGTTTTCAATTTGTGACGATCGTTAACGAAGACCCTTTGTCAACGACAATTAACGACGGTCGTGAACGATCTTTTATAGACAAAATAAATGGTCGGACAACCCTTAGATCGGTAAAACCTTGGGTTTGATAAAAAACAAAAACATTTAAACAAAATTTATAAACTTAGCTTTCTGAAAATTTTAGATTAATTATCAAAAAACTCAGATTAATTAGGGAAAATTTTCAAAAACAATCTTTAAAAAAACGGTATTTTTCGTTTATTAAAAGTTCAAAACGAGTGGTTCGTTCGTTGTGACCCATCGAAACTACAAAACTATCGTATTTTCGATCGTTTTCTAAAACGATTAAAAACCTATTACTATATATTTAGGAACTAGAAATTAGAAACCATAACTTTTACACATAAAAGTCGATCAACATACTCAACTTTATAGAAATTACTCTGTATATGTAAAATCTTAGCTTTTTACTTCTAATCTATTTTCAAGTATTTCTTCATTGTACATTTTGAAATAATAACAAGGAAAAATTTCGCAAATGAATTGAGTCTTTACCACAAAGGAATCGAGTCTTTGCCACAAACTCTGATTTTATCATCAATATATCTTTGGAATCCAATGTCGTAAATCTTTGATATTTCAAACTTATATTATTTGATCTAACAGAATTCATAGTTTGAAATGTTTGAAATTGATAATTCTCATCTCTGGGAACATGATGAGCTGAAACTTTGATATTCAAAACTTGGATTATTTAATCTAGTCATAGTTTGAAATATCAAAGATTACGACACCGGGTTGCAGAGATATTAAACAACCATAGTTTGTGGTAAGAGTTTAGTTCCTTTGAAATAAAATTTGATCCTGATCGATTCTGCCGGTTTGGCGTTTATTCAATCAAACAAACCAACCATCAAACAAACGGACAAGCCAAATGCGATGGTAGGCGATAATATCAAAATAATGAAGACGACATTCGATTTTAATTTTGATTTTAAACAGCATAGATACACAAAAACATGGAAACAAAGAGAAGCTGTCAATTAAAAAAATCTTCTCTTTAATTACTTGTAAACTTGTAACTCGAAAAAAGCTGGTTAACAATTAAAAAATGAAAAAGTGTCTTTATAATATTGATATAATCGCCAACCAGCGTATATATTTACATATGTATATAGATTTAGGGTTATTTATTAGATAAAAAACAAGAATTTGAACAATATATCTATATGATAATAGATGAGTGATCACACACAGTTTAAGTGTGTACATAATAATGAAATATTAAATATTTTAAAGTGCTTTTTAACATTAAAATACGCAACAGACTGCGTATTTAATAATAGTTTGTTTAAAGGGAAAGTAGTTTACCTCTAATTTTACATTGAACACTTTTCAAGTCAGAAAAATTCCTATATTTTCTTTGTAAATTGCTGTTAATCCGGCAAGGGCGGAAGGCCCTCTTTAAATAGAGGGTCAGTTAAAATAAAAACAACAGTCCAGTCCCTTTAAAATGATTAATTCTCTCCAAGTTATCACAAAACCTTTAGTTAGAAACAAGAATATTCTGATTTAAGATACAATGGATACATAAATAAGGTTATCTGAGGTATGTACAGGTCAGCTTAACAATTACAAAAATACAATAGATATTTCAATTTCAGGTGTAACATGGTATTTAATGGACAACAATTACAATCGATTACAGTGTTTCTCTTTCTTTCCTTTAGTGATATGTTTAGATATCAGTTAGATATATATATATTTAATATTTGAAAGATTTAATGTTAAGAAATTGAGTCTGATGTTCTAAGACCTTTATCTTTGCAACCTAGTGTCTGAGACCTTAGATATTTCAAACTATGAATTCTATGAGATTCAATAATCAAAGTTTGACATATCAATGATGTAAACCATCAGGTTAAAAAGATAAAGTGATTAGAAAAATTGAGTTTGTGGCAAAGACTCAATTCTTTATTGAAAATTATAAAGATTTTTTATTTTTGAAATTTTTAAAGAATGTCTTAAGTCTTAATACTTAGAGGATGATTCAAGGACGAATAAAAGGGAATACTCTGATGTTCTAAAACCTATATCTTTGCAACCTAGTGTCTGAGACCTTAGATATTTCAAACTATGAATTCTATGAGATCCAATAATCAAAGTTTGAAATATCAATGATGTAAACCATCAGGTTAAAAAGATATAGTGATTAGAAAAATTGAGTTTGTGGCAAAGACTCAATTCTTTATTGAAAATTATAAAGATTTTTTATTCTTGAAATTTTTAAAGAATGTTTTAAGTCTTAATACTTAGAGGATGATTCAAGGACGAATAAAAGGGAAGAAGAAAAATTGGTTTCATAACAATTCTGGATATAAATATAATATATACTTTTTCTGTCATAACTGTTCTCTGTATTTTTTATCTACAAAATACTTTCTTGATGTAGATGCAAGAGCGGAGTCCAACTTGTTGGGTTTTCACTTGGATTTACCGTAATATTCGGTCGTTTCAAGTCTACAGTGTTCACTTCAGAGTTAGGGGAAGACATGTTGTAATCAGCTGATTGCCACGTGGACCTTTCCCGCATTTGGTTTGAATGAGAAAAATGCGCGGCATCCTGATTGTTTCTACAAGTTCCTGCGTAAACTGAACTATTTGAATCCTGACTCAACTTGTAAATATCTGGAATAAAATAAAATACATTTTTTTCGGAACTTCAGAGGAAAATGAGATGAATATGGTTTTTGATCAAAAGTTTATTAAAATGTTGCTCTTTATCTAGCATATTTAGAAAATTACCTTTTTTACTTGGAATGATATCTGGTCCATGAGGTTCCTGCAAAGAAGAGTGTGTGAGGTATTGAAGCTGGGGTGCTGGGTAGTAGGTATCAGGGGTGTAGGAATTAGGTTTTGATGAATAGCATATTTTTGCTGCGGGTTCTTGTGTCGGATAGTATTCTTCAGCATCAGCTGATGTTGGAACTGCTCCTATTGTTGGAGCTTTCATACGGTATTTACGCCTGTTTTCATTATAGATTACCATTTAAATCAAAACAACCAACCCTGGTTAGATCCGGTTCATTTAAAACGGGAAAGTGTACCAAATGGATTATCCCGTTTTGTGTGAACAACATACTAAATTGTGATTATTTTAGTTTTATTATTGAAAATTCTTAAAAATTAGAATTTTTATCGTTTATTAAAATGAGAAGGTTAAGGTAAGATATTTAGTTTGACCTGAAGAACCCCATCATAACTATATTGCCCATGGGATAAAAACTTGGTTTTGCCAAAACTTTGAAAAAAAAACATTAATTGGATAGTTTTATCATGTTTTATCAAACAATATATTGTAAAGTTTAACATGAAAACAAATATTAGTATAATCAGCTTTGATGACAAAAATGACATCGTAGAATTGAGGATTTTATATTGTCTTCGATCCATGCGGCATTTTTTCATGAATATAATTATTGCAGTATTCCAGCTTAAACATTTGATTTAATTTAATCTACCATTTTTTATTCCAAAATTGACGGAGATATTGCAAAATTTGAAATTTCAATTTATTTAATAAACCAAAATTGTCTTTTTTATCATAATATCTTCGTCAATTTTTAAGATTCATGAAAGGCAGACCACTTAATATAGACACTTCCTTTTCTTTACCATGCATTAAGTATCAAAAATCAAAGACGACTTTCAAGTCGTCTCTCAATTTCCATGTTATTTGGGACACCCTGTATAAGATATCAATTGTATTATATATATTATCATATGATCTATTGTTCCTGATAATAGGAATGATAATAATGTAGATATAGTTTTCGGATGTTAGGCATAAAAAAAAATATGATAAAAAAATTAAAAACAATTTTTGGAACATAATTAAAAAATCTGCGAAACCAATTTTTTGCTGTTAAAATTTGTTAAAAAATTGTAAGGAAAATGTTTTATCTATTGTTTTCCAGAATATCATAAAAATTCAGCAAAAATTGAATCAAGTATAACAAAAAATGTAAGCCAATTATTTGAATTGGTTTTGCGGATTTTTTTAATGTTCCAAAAAATGTTTTAATCTTTTTAACCACAGTTTATTTTAGTTTATGACTAAAATCCGAGCAAAACTAAAATTTAGAGAAGTTTGTCCAAAACATCGAAAATTCCTATAAATATGATATGTTGTATGATGTAGATATTAACAATAATTTGTATAATCTATGGTTCCTGATGATCAGAATGATGATGATGGCAGCAAGGAACAATGTGACAAGGATCCCGGCCAAAATACCAAGGAACGGTGTGAACTCAACTGGAACGGGTGTATCAGCATCTTAAAAATTCATATTTCATATTATACAAAAAGTTGAACCCACCTAAAGCTTATATATTTTGGATGAAACTATGGGGATGAAAATGCTTAAATCTGTCTTGCACCAGTTTTAAACTTTCTTGATAAATACTTTTTTTTAAGTTTGAGATAATTTTTTTTTCTCAACTTTCAGACCAATTTATTTGTTAACTTTTTGGTTTAGATCAATACGCTAATGTAAGCAAGAAAAAAAGCGTTTCAATAAATCAAAATTGGTCTGAAATATTTATCTTAAAATACTGAATTCAAAAGCATTAAAGCCGTTTACAAATTAGACAAAAAAATGGTTTTTGAGGAAAATTTGGAAAAATTTTAAAACTCGACCCTCCCTAACGATATACGTTTATTTTAAAACTCGACCCTCCCTAACGATATATGTTTATTTTTAAATATCGTTAATTACTGAATGCATTTTTAAATTTTTTTCAGTAATTAATGTTGCTTTTAATTAGATACTGAATAAGTTGTTGATGCAAAAAGGATTTGACATTATCGATTCAAAAATTTCAACCATTTTGATTCATTCTCCATATTATTATCAATATCCATTTGTTCTTACAGCGGAAAAGTTGTTTATGTAGTTGTACAGGATGTACAGTGTACTGCAGTTGTACAGGATGTACAGTGTACTGTAGTTGTAGAGGATTTACAGTATACTGTAGTTGTACAGGATGTACAGTGTACTGTAGTTGTACAGGATTTACAGTATACTGTAGTTGTACAGGATGTACAGTGTACTGTAGTTGTACAGGATGTACAGTGTACTGTAGTTGTAGATGTACAGTGTACTGTAGTTGTACAGGATGTACAGTGTACTGCGTATCCAAATTATGCTTTCATCATTTAACTCCGTAATGTTATGATAAAAAATCATGGATAATCCCTTTATTCTGCTCTTGAGTCTGATATTTTCATAGATATTTCTAAAATTTGTATTACATTTTTGAACAGTTTTATTAAACAGAAGTTCTTCTCACACAACATACATACAAAGCTCTTCTAAGAAAATAATTGTAGATTTTCTATCAAAACAGTAGACGTTCTTCTAACAGAATGATAGAAATTCTTCCAACAAAATTATAGGAGTTCTTCTAACAGAACGATAGGAGTTTTTCTAACAGAACGATAGGGTTTCTTCTTACACAACGATTAGAGTACTTGAAACTGAACGGTGCGTAGGAGTTTTTCTAACAGAAAGATAGGAATATTCTTCTAACGGAACGATAGGAATTCTTCTAACAGAACGATTGGAGATCTTCTCACATAATGATAGGAGTTCTTCTAACAAAACGATAGGAGATCTTCTAACATAATAATAGGAGTTCTTCTTACAAAACGATGGGAGATCTTCTAAAATGATGATAGGAGTTCTTCTAACAGAACAATAAAAGTTCTTTAACCAAACGATAGGGGTTCTGCTAACAGAATGATAGAAGTTTTTCAAAAAGAACGATAGGAGTTCTTCTAACAGAACGAAAGGAGTTATTCTAACAGAACGATAGGAGTTCTTCTTACAGAAGGATAGGAGGTCTTATTATATTTCAATAGGAGTTCTCTAACAAAACGATAGAAGTTCTTTTAACAGAACAACAGGATTTTTTTAACAAAATGATAGGAGTTCTTCTAATAAAACAATACAAGTTCTTCTAACAAAACAATACGAGTTCTTCTAGAACGTAGCAGACAGTGTAAAAAGTAAAAATAACATTAGACAGACATAGGAAGGACTGGTCAAATATTGATGGATGAGGATAATTAGTCCCCAGGTATGCATAAATAGACTATACCAACTATATATGGAAGGTTATTTATCATCTACTTAATGGTTTATCATAAATAATGAATTCTATAAAGTTGTTTCAACCGTTTTTTCCCTTTTTGGGTATAAAATATTAATTTAAAAGAAAAAATTAAAGAGCATGCAGGACCACAATTAAAGATTTATTCCTTTTAGTATTCCTGTTTTAAGTTATTTTTTTTACAAAGAAATCGATGATCCCAAAGTTAGTAAGACTTCAGGTTATGCATGAGAAGTTATAACATAGCTTCCACCAATACTTGAAAGGATTGCTTATGTACAATTGTATCTATGATACGCTACTAGAACTACAATATACTCTGAGGTATGAAACAAAAAATGGATAACTTTGTGAATTAAGTTTCTTGCAGCACAAAAAATATGAATGTGTAGTTACACAAGATATCTTGAAAAAATGTAATTTTCAATGGTTTTGGAATTTTTAGAGGGACGGAAAAAACCCCTGCAATAAGATGTTACCTATCTGAAGTTCTGCGACTTTAAGCCTGAATCCATCTAGAACTGTAGGTCTACTCCGACCATTCTGATTAACTCCATAAATCCGCAGTTCTAGATCTCGACCTTAATTTTTAGATTTAATCTCCTCATTTTTTTCAACTATAGTACTAACCCTCACATCATGAGATATGACTTTAAATGGTCCAAAAAGCATGGTACACAGCAATTGCACAGTTAAACCAGACCCATTTAGCTTAACTAGTAACTTAATAACGGTCTAGGAAAACTATTTGCTTTGTAACACCATCAAATACACTTAAGTATTGCTATAAAGTCGTCTTCATATTTCAGAGTTTTCTGGTTATCTCTGTATTTTTAAAAAGTTTTCTTGTACATAAATTCTTATTTAAATATAAGAACTTTTTACATAAATGTTGAAACAAATAAAATTTTGTCACTAAAAATTATTTCTTAAATTAATAAATTAATGTCCTACCCCCTCCCTCCCCCGACATGATAATAATAAAGGAATAAAGGTATGAAGTATTCAAGTATTTAGTGCCAGGACTTCAGAACTTCTTAGTTCTAACCACAAACCAATCAACTTTATATCAAACAGTTGTTAGAACTTAATAAACAATACAATCATAAAATTTTCTTTTAACTATAATTTTAGATTTTCTATAAAATGATATTCCAGGGCCCAAAAGGTTATATAGCATAAATATGTGTAGTACACCTGCAGTATGGAAACAGTACAACAAAATGGCCGTTTTACATTTTTTTCTAGTAAATTCACCTCTAATATATATTCTATTCTCTATGACCTGGAATAGTAACATTTTACTAGTTAATTTATAATTTTTTCCACAATAAAATCTTGATAATATTTTGTTTTCATATTTCGATCAGTCATTTGCAACAAAAATATTGGCCCGATCAGCTCAGCCGTTATCTGGTAAAAACAAACAAACAAACTAACAAGCAAAAAAAGCCAAATATACATTATTGAATATCAAACATAAATTAAAGTTATATATAGTTAAACATAATTATATAATTATATAATTATCAAATGGATTCTAGTTCTGTAACTTAATTAGTTGTCTGGTGGATTTCCAGCAATTTCAAGGAAACAGACAGAAACGGATCTTTGAGAAGGAAGTTAGATCCTCATTTAAATTCTATTATTTTCCTTTAGAAAATATGGAATTCACATAATATTCTCTAAATTTGAATTTGATGATACATATAGTTTTACTGCAGTAGCTTGAATATCAACTTAACAAGTGAAAATTGGGACAATATCTGTATAATATGTTTCTGAATCTTTTTAGATAATTTTCATATTTTAATTCAACATTGTTGCATATGTTTTTTAGAGAAGGGCGGAGGGGTGGTTAGTGAATTTGTGATTTCTAACACTTAGTGTTAGAAATGGGCCAAGTGTTAGTTTTGGAACTAATATCCCCTGGATTTACTTTTACCTGAATTGTAAATAGCCTTTTAACTGATTTTCCATATTGGAGTCAATAGATATGAATGGAAAAAAAATTAAAAAATATGTTTTACAAAAATCAATTTTTATACAGGGGTACACACGATCAGATTTTAGAGACGACTGTACAGAACTTATACTGTCTGATTTCCTTATATTTACAATTCCCATTATCTGTAAAGGGGGTGTACGGCTAAATCCCTTCAAATCATTAAATAATCAATGAAAAGAATATATTCAAGGCAGAATACCTAATTTATCTTTATGGTCGCCATATTCATATTCATAGTGTCATTCTTTGTTTCAAAATTATCAGAATATCAAATGCCAAATGATCAAAAATCTTTGAATGATCAAAAAATGTACGCTAAACAGTTAGGACAACTATTTTTTTCAAACATATCTTACAATTTTACAATAAAGTTAATTTTAAAGTTTAAGGTATTTAAAGCATAGTTTTATGTTAAAACGTCTGTTCTTCTCTTCTCTTCTCCTTGCTTCTCTTCTCTTTTATTCTTTTTTTGTTCTATTTTTTCTTCTCTTTTTTTCTTATCTTCTTTTTTCTTCTATTTTTTTTCTCTTTTTTCTTATCTTTTCTTTTCTTCTCTTCTCTACTCTTCTGTTATCTCTTTTCTTCTCTTCTCTTATCTCTTATCGTTTCCTCTTTGTTTTCTCTTTGTTGTTAACCGGTTTTGAGATGAACAATGCAGTACGATCCGTGTTGTTCTGATTTTTCTCTGATTTGTTTACATTTCTATAGCTTGTAGACCTAATCGAAACGTAATGCGTTTTTACTCCATAATTAGGCATTTGATAATTTGGCATTTGACGTTTTGATATTTTTGCATTCTTTGTTGCTATCCCCAGCTATATATGAAGCTAAAACATCATATATTATTTGAAAAGCTGTATACAGGTACACCAAGCCATTAGTTAAATATGCAAAAATGGTGGATGGAGGCTTACTGAAGAAAACGTTGACAACCATTAAAAAAAGAATGGTTTTAGAAAATTTGAATTTTATTGTTGATTTGTCAGCTTTAAAATGTTTGAATTTCTATTGAAATATTGTCAATAATCTGTTGTTGCACTGCTGCCTAGTGCCTACTCTATAGTATTGGTAAACTATATAGAGAGAGATGAAAAAGAAGCAAACAATAAAACCCCAATTTGAAATCGATCAAAAGCCTTCAAACTTTTAATATAACCATGCCTTCACTTATGCTTTTCTGTAGCCCTTTACATGTACATTTTACTCTTGTTTTGGCTTTGGTTTTTAAGAAGTAATTGGTAAAATTCTCATGATTCTCATAGATTTTTTGCTTGAGAGCTTGCAACTTATAAATCACAGTGCCTTCAAAGTGCAGACCCGACACAATTAACGGAAGTGAATAAATCCCTTACTTGATGTTCACCAGGGGGCGGAAACGTCATGGGGGTGTGTCTGTACCAAAAGAGTGTGTGTAAAGTTTACCGTACCGAAAGTGTGTACTTTAGGTGTATACAGTACATAGGAATCTCGATTTTTGTACAGTCTTGGAGAGTACATTTGTTTATTGTTAATTGTTTACTTAAAAATAAGTTTAATATACAACATGTAGTATACTAGTTATATATTTAAGTCAACACAATATACAAGAATATAATTTGATTAAAGTTTACAATAAACTAATCGTTATTCAAGCTTAATTATAATTGACAACATTGTTCTGCAATTTCCTTGACTGTAGTCATGTTGTATGTTTGTACCAGAAGAGTGTGTGTAAAGTTTACCATACTGGTCTGCAAAGCAGTGCGACTGGCTTTCTCATGCCAGACCACCGCCATTTCCTTTCCCTTTATTCCTATTCCCTGATGTTCACTCACCATTCAAATAAGCTGTTGGTGACCGGAGATATATTAGCAAAGAGAATAGAATATATATTAGAGTGGAATTTAGACAATCCCTCGGTATGAATTTTGTCAGTCCCTTTCAGTCTGAAAGGGAGTTCAAAGTGTACAATCATGTACGTGTTCACAAATTATATGCAGTAGAGTACATTAATACAGTATGTTTCCTAGACTATCTATTTCAATTTCGAATTTTTAAAGCTGTTAAATAAACTTTATAAAATGAATTAGGTGAGTAAAAACATCATTTGTAAAGTGAAGGCAAAGAGTCTACGTGAAATGATCATTGGTTAATTATGAAACTTCATAATTTGGTTTTCTTTTAATTATAATTTTAGATTTTCTAAAAAATGATGTTCCAGGGCCCAAAAGGTTATTTAGCACAAATATGTGAAGTACACCTGCAGTATGAAAACAGTACAATAAAATGGCCGTTTTACACTTTTTTCTAGTAAATTCCACTCTAATATATATTCTAATCAATTTGTATATTAGGGTTTAACAGAGAGTACATTGGTAGGAATTTATGAAGCAGTAGTTGAACTAATTCTTGTAGTGTAGGGATTTGCTATCGTAAAAATAGCAAAAGTCAGTGTACTGCATGTTTCTTGTTCAGAATTGTAAAAACATTGTCTCTAATCTATATTTATTATTCATACTGTGCTTGTCTGTATTTTTGTTTGTTTGTTTTTATCCAATAAACGTCTAAAAGCTAAACCTATCGGGCAGCATTATTATGTGACAACCCACATAACGCCAGGATAAGTTATTTGCTGCAAAAATAAACAATTTGACTGAAGAAAAATGTTGAGAATGATTTTAAAAAGTTATAAGCTAAAAATGTTGATATGTTATAAGCTAAAAATACTGATCGGAATGAGGGTGTGAAGTGTCCGAATGCCTAGTTTAAATTGTTTACCTTGTCCAACTTAGAGTCTATCAATTCCAACAGAAAGGTTTGATCCAAACCTCCATCAAACCCGGCAATACATTCCACCTGAACAAACCCCATAAATACATTGAGTTGAATTTGAATGGTTGAGGGGAGTACCTGGAGTAGATCTGTAGTCTGGTTGAGTATAGAGCAACTAGAGAGAGGTTGAGGGGTGTACCTGGAGTAGATCTGTAGTCTGTTTTAAACAAAAGCCCTCGTACGCCCCTGTGGTTGAGTATAGAGAGGGGTTGAGGGGTATACCTGGAGTAGATCTGTAGTCTGGTTAAACATAGAACAACTAGAGGGGGGTTGAGGAGTGTACCTGGAGTAGATCTGTAGTCTGGTTGAGTATAGAGAGGGGTTGAGGGGTATACCTGGAGTAGATCTGTAGTCTGGCTAAGCATAGAACAACTAGAGAGGGGTTGAGGGATGTACCTGGAGTAAATCTGTAGTCTGGTTAAGCATAGAGCAACTAGAGAGGGGTTGAGGGGTATACCTGGAGCAGATCTGTAGTCTGGTTGAGTATAGAGAGAGGTTGAGGGGTGTATACCTGGAGTAGATCTGTAGTCTGGTTAAGTATAGAGCAACTAGAGAGGGGTTGATGGGTAAATACCTGGAGTAGATCTGTAGTCTGGTTGAGTATAGAGCAACTAGAGAGGGGTTGAGGGGTAAATACCTGGAGTAGATCTGTAGTCTGGTTGAGTATAGAGCAACTAGAGAGGGGTTGATGGGTAAATACCTGGAGTAGATCTGTAGTCTGGTTGAGTATAGAACAACTAGAAGGGGGTTGAGGGGGTCCAGCAGGTATAATACTAAATATACAGGGATCTTTCATCTGTCCTCGTTCATTTGCAGCCCAGCAATACAGCTGCCCAAAATCTCTGATTAATCAATCAATCAATTAGATGGAAAAGTCTAAATTTCATTTATTTAAAAAATATCTTTCGTGTCAGAAAAATCCACTTAGAAAATTACTGAAATTCACAAAGGAAAATGAATGTTGCCTAAAACTCTTTTTTCTAAATCCTATATCTTTGCAACCCGATGTCATAATTCTTTGAAAAATCAAACTTATACTTTTTGATCTAGCAGAATTCACAGAATGGAATGTCAAATTTCTTAGACATCAGGATTCAAAGATTTAATTACTAAATTCGAGTTTGGAGAGAGTTCTTTATGCCTACAGGACATTTGCTTGAATTACATATTATTTTTTGGAAAAAAGTTAAACAAAACCTTTGTAGAAATATCATTTGTTTTAATTCTTAAATTGACAAGAAACCATTCTCATAACACAATAGTTAAAGCAAATAGCATTTAACTTCTGAGAATAAATGTTGAATGATTTATATTTTAAAACTTGAAAATGAAATTCCTAGTAAAATTATGGATATTTGTTCAGGATTTTAGAACTATTATAAGTTAACCGGAGCTGAAAACTTTAGAATGTTGGATATCGGGATTAATGCGTGATCCTCTCTTTTTGATAATCTCGAAAGATTAACATAATCTTGCAAGAATATCTTAATAGTATATGAAAAACGATAAAATTCAAATTAAAAAGTTTCCACAGTGGATATTCGGATCAAGAAGTCAGGATTAAAGTTTATCCATTCTAAAGTTCCCAGCTCTGAATATAGAAATTATAGATATGCTGGAATGAATTATGTGGACCATACATATTGTCCTTTTAATCTTGATAGTTTTCAAATTGCAGTATCTTCGGCATTTTTGGCTCATTTCTAATCTGCTAAAAGCTTCTAGGAACTGGAATACAAAAATTCGCAAATAATCGTGCCAAAAAAGCGTGCAAATTTAGTTGTTTTTACATCTCAGAATGAGATTTTCTCAAAAGTTAATAGTTAACTCTACTTTGCTGGAATTAAATTGCAAATTTTAGCAGCACTAATATGGAGTTGGGCTCAGCTGTGGAAGATTTAAATCAAGTGTTAAAAAGTTAAAAAGCTAGGGATATATTTGGATTTGTGCATGTTTTACTATCAAATTGGTCTTGTTGTTTTGAATTAAAGAGATATAGCCTTTTAACAATAATCAAGATTACAAGAACAACCTGTTATAATCAAATCAAAATCGGTGATTGATTTGATTTGATTGATTTCCTGTCTGATACAGCCGAGTAGGTTAGTATACTAGATCCGTTTCTAAACTCAAAATCCTGCCCCTTCACGTTTATACTCTCCTTAACATAATTAAACAATATTAGCGAACTAAGAAATTAATCTCCATTTTAAGAGTGCACAGTGGTTTTCTCTTAGAAATTATCAAGGCGTTACTGATGAATTTTACCGTTTTCTGTTTGAAAATTGTATTGACGACTAGATACATTTTTGTTAAGAATATATTTTCACCCGCTAAAAGAGTGTACACTGTGCAGTACACATATATAGGAAGCAAGTGGACAATGAAACAAAATTTATCATCCTCTAATTAGAAATAGGAATAAAAAGAAAATTACAACAAAAGACACAACTTCTTTTTGAATTTTTTTCCTCTTTTAAAAAAATTGTTTTAATATGTTAAATGAAATAATAATATTTAAATTATTTTAAATGAAATACAACATTCTTATTCAAATATACGCAATTTATCTAAGTTGTGAAATCCTTGTTTCAATATTTAACTAACTAAAAAATATTTAAATAATTTAAAACCTAATTGAAAGTACTGTAAAGTTCTACATTTGATCTTTGGTAATATTTAATAATTAGCAAATTTGAATAATTAACAATTAACAGGTTTGCTTTTGCAGAAAAGACAACTTTTCCCTGAGTTCAGGCGGGCGTCGAAAGCTCTGCTCGTGTTACCACGAGAGATACGAGGCTCCCAACAGTTGCGCTACCAGGTTCAGGAAGGAATCAATTAATTATAGTCTGATATTTGATAATATGGCATTTGGAAAGTATATGTATCTACTTCCTTGGAGGGAGCATGTTTTAAAGTTTCAGTCTTAATATAACCTGAGACTTAATTTTTATGAATTTGAGCTATGTCTCAAATCAGCCAAAAACCGGTTTTAATTGAGCGCCGCCGGCTTTAATTTTGAAACATTGAACACAATTTTAAGTGGAACCAACCATATTTGAGCCACGTCTCAAATTTAAGTCGAGGCTCAAAATGTTTAAATTCCGCCTCTGGCTATCAAAGTTCCATTGGGTAAATTTTTGTATTTTTTTTCTTTATTCCTTACCTAATTTTTAATTTGAGAGGAAATAATATTTTCCTTTTGTATGTTTACCCGTTTTACCAGTTTTACCAGTATACACAAAGGATGTAATGCAAGGAAAGTTATTTCAAAGGTGTACGCATGTTTTGTACTGAAGTGTATTGTCACTGGGCGCGGTAATGTAAACACAAGACGGATTTCGAAGCCTGACATGGGATCCATCTTTCACATAAAAAATCAATGAAATATTCTGGTCATTGGAAACTATTATGTGAATTATCAAAATTACCAAAATTCAATGCTTTTAACTTCCTCGGATACTAAACGAACACTGATGCATCAATTATTGTTTACAAATTCCGCCCAGAGAGAACTGGTTTCAATATGTACGCAGAGTATACGCAACATGCAATTAACTTTCCTTGCATTACATTCTTGGCATACACATTCTTCTCGCAGACAATCATGAAGCAAGTGAAACTATATTTTATGAAGAAAATAAAAAAAACTGAAACAAAATCAGTAAAGAGAAGAAAATTTGAAAAAATTCGAAGTATAAAGCAATTTTCAAGGAAAACGAGAAAAGTATTGTAATGATTCTCTTTTTTAGAACCTAAAATGAATATATATGAAAAAGCATGTTTTTGAAAAATGTCAAACCTTGCTATTGTTGAAGGTCCAGGTGAAGGAGTGAGCCGGGGGGAAGGAATCCACAACACATCTCACCTTAATAAACAAACTAAAATAAAGAATATTTTTCTTATTTTTCAAACTTTTTTTGAACCCCAAGACGCCAAATAAAAATATTGCCCCCCCCCCCCCGGAAAGTATTTTTAATGTCTTAACCTTACTCATACAAAAAATTATTTGGGGCATATAATATGGGTTTATATTATATCATTAATACATGTGAGTAGTGCACATTCATTTGAATAATGATCTAAACGCAAGCTTAGGTTATTCTCTAATTTTTGAAAGGGAACTTTTAATAAAACTACTTTTTTTGAGTAAGAGCAAAGATAAATTTTAGAAAAAGAATTTTATTTGTTTTTATCCGTTTATGTTAATGAAAAGTCAAATGTAATGTAACACAAAGAAAGAAGAGGAAAATTCAATTAAGTTTGATGTTTAAATAAAACTTGTAAAAGCTTCATCATTTGACACGTTGTCTATAGTACCATAGAGACCATTATATAAATAGGATAGACTAGACCAGAAAATACAGGGTGTGTTGAAAAAAAGGGTGGTAAGGTATTCGCAAGTCTAAAATTTGAGTCTCTATAGATTCACGAAAAAGATAAAAAACACTTTTCCCCGACACCCTGCAGTTGAGAGAGAAACATGTTTAGAATATGTAATAGAAAGAAAATCAAGGGTTAACCATCATAACTTTCCATTGCAGAATCAACTGCTTTTTCTAAGTCCAAAACCGAAATTTCATCTTAAAGTTTTCTTGTCAAGAACATAATTGATCATTATTATTTTAATGGTTTGAAAGTTTTTTGGGTTTTTTATTTTGCAGTTACATAAAATTTGTTTAGTAATTCTGTTAAATTTAAATGAATATATATAGCGTGAAGTAGTTAAACTACGCAGACAAAGTTGAACAACTTTTCTTGAGCGCTGGTTCAAGTTGGAGAGACTTGGTTCAACTAAGTTCGCGAATTTAAACTAATTCTTTCTATTCATTAAATTTTGGCCCCCGAAATAATAATTCAACTTTAAGCACATAATGCATAATTCAACATGTTTATTTCTTATAGTTTGCCACAAATACTGATTATCTAATCCCTATATCTTTGGAACCCGATGTGTAGACCTTAGATAAGGTAAACAATAAAACAAATCAAATAATCTAAGTTTGAAATATCCTAGGATTATACCATCAGATTGCAAAGATATATGGATAAAAAATTCCTTTGTCTTTTAGTTTCTGAACGAATTATTCGTTATAATTTTCTTAATTTTTGTCTTCTCCTAAGTTTTTTTATTCCTTTAAAAACCTACCTTTAGAGATGTGCCTAGTGTAGTTCCAACAGATATCTTTTTAGTGTGATTACATCTGGGTGAATCTAGATAAGAGATTTTATATATAAGTTTATCTTGGGATTTATAAACAAAAATACTATCGCTGTGTTAGATCTTATTTGAGGACAGTTTGACCCAAATAGGTTCAAGTACAAAAGGTTGCTATGAGGTTTTGAACAATTATATTCAATGTTACTAATATACTATTACATTTAAAACGCAAACACCGACAATATAAAGATTGTTTTATCAGGTCAAATTGTGAATCGTGAGTTATACCAGTTTTCAATATAGAGTATATTAAAATAAAACAGTTTAAAAAAGAAAAAAGACAATTCAATTAAAACAGCACTGACTATAATACAAACTTGTGCACTTGGGAGAAAAAGTATCCTCATTATCGAATATTTTTTCGTTCAACGAAAATTGAAATGTCGCCAGCGACGTAAAATTAGGTCTACTGAATGCATTCTTGTAGACGTAATCTTTAGTGCCAACTATTTAACGTGATAATCTATTACGTTTGTCCTAAAATAAATGTCGAAATATTTATCGAATTTGAGGTTTACATTAAAGATAACAAACATGTTCTCTCGGTCTCTTATTATTCGCTGAATATATACTGACAGGTTCTAAATCTGATTGATTTAATTATAGATTAATGACAATACAGATAGAAAACTAGATGTCGTCTTTTCAAGATTTAGGGGCTTTTCGTTCACAATAACCCTGAAGCAGAAACCAAAAGTAGTTATGCGTGCTCTCTTTCTTGAAAAGACAACATCGAGTGTTCTCTCGGTATTGTTATTAATCTATGGGTTTAAAAAGTTACACCTTTTAGAAACTGTGACGGAATCTAATAACGGGATAATAAGAATATAAACATATTTTTACTATGGTAGAATTATCTTTGAAGAAAAGAGGAGCAATGTCTTGTTTGACATTTCAAGATCTTGCTAAATTGAGAAATGGTCTCTAAAAACATTTGTTAAAGCTGTTAGAATAAAAAAAATCCCTCAAATTAATTCACTTATTTTCCTCCAAAACTTCACATTATCAATAAAAGAAATAACATATATATCTTCACAAATTTTCTTTAAAAACAATATTGGACGAAAGATGCATTACCAATCATCAACTAATCAATTGAATGTGGCTTAAATGCGACACATCCTCCCACTCAACATTTTACTGAACACTCTCTTTGATAACTTACATTTGATGCTAAGATGAAAAACATTAGACTGGGCATCTCCTTCAATATTAGAAACTAAACAACTATAGTTTCCTTTCCTCTCTCTCCCAACTCGTTGAAGAACTAAACATAATTTTAATGAGATGTTTTAGGAACTCTGAAATGGGGGGTTCTGAATCTATGTATACAGCCTGGGGGGGGGGGCGCCACACGCCCTCCTTAAAAAAGGCCTTTGAGTAAAGATATAGGTTTGGAATGCATATTCATTGTTCAAAGCCAAATTTTTCAATGCCAGCATGGAGGTTTGAAATAAATGTCAAAAACAAGTCGTAAAAATGCAAAAAATATATTTTATGTTTCTGACAAATATTCAAATGAGAAGTAAAACATGTGTTAACATCCATTTGTAAAAGGCTTTTCAAAAATGTAGTTTTCTCGTTCATTGTTCTTTTTGTTTAAACCAAAGAAAATGAGGTAAGTTGGGGCTCCAGGATTTCCAAATTGTTAGATTTAATGGAATGTGTTTCGTATCTGGCACCCTTTAGATAGGATTAGTACAAATTACATTGATTGTCCCTTCAAAGTAAATTATTTCCTTCCCCACTAATGTTTAAAATCCGGCAGTAATCGATTAGTTTTCAAATGCTAATTTTAAATCATCAATTTTTTAATCGGCTTTTTGAAACAGGTTTTTAAAACAATTGTTGTGGTTGGAGCCATGGTGGCTCCACAACTCTTGGTAGATTTCACATTTTATTCTTTACAAGTTTGGTTCTTCTGCAAAATGCAAAAACATTAGGTCCTGAAAAAAAGATTATTATAACCCTGAAAAGGGTGGCAGGGAATGAATGGTACCCCCTCAATTTAATTCAGATCTAACACTCTAATTTTTGACACTTTTAAGAACACGTAATGTTTTCATTTTTCATGATTGCATAGGACGCTCATTTGAAAGGTCGATATCGGTGTTTAAAACATTTAAAGCAACCAAAGTATTATTTTACTTTGAGCTAGCCTTTAAATTTTGATTATGCATATTTATGCATGGCACATCAATATATACCTTTACTTAAAGGCCTTTTTCTAGGTGATTCCAACTTTTAAAGACTAAACGTAGACGTTTAAGGGTTAAGAACATAACGATTTTTATGTTTATCAGTTTATTTGAGGAGCCAAGGTTGAAAAAACAAAAAAGTGAAATATTTAAAAATGAAATATCCAACTCTATTTATAGTTACCTAAACTCTGACCACTGAGGATAATCCCATCTTCAATATTTTGATCTAGAACCTTCGTCTGAAAATATAGATAGATAGATAGATAGATAGATAGATAGATAGATATATAAATAGATATATAGAAAGATTAGAACTAAAGCAGTGAAGAGAAATTTGTAAATTTTTCAAGGATACAGAATACATATTTACATCAACCCCGCAGCTTGGGGAGGGGGGGTTGCAGGGGCATGTGATCCCCTTTTTTCCCCAGAAGTCCACAAGTCCACAAGATATAAGACAAAAAAGAAAAGAATAAAAAAATGAAAAGAGGCAACGAAAAAGAAAAATAAATCAAGGGGAAAAATTCAATCAATCAAAAAATTTCCCAATAGCACAGGGTGAACCCAAAAAAACAGGGATTATCATTATTATTTATAAACAGCAATAATCTTTGTAAATATCTCAAAAAAGGTTTTTATTTATTTTGAATTTTTGGTTTTTCGATGCTACCGTTCAGCGTAAAATGTTTTCGAATTTTTGAAAACCTTTCTGTTCACTTTTAACAATTAATAAATTCTAAAATTATATTGAAGTCTGCATTGTAGTCTGTAGATAGAAAACAACAATGCTTAGAACTGATAAAATTAATCTTAATTAAATTACTACAATATTTATATTTCAAATTATATCTTAAAAGAGGCCCGTATTTGATGCCATGATTATTGTTTATATTGTTTGTTGCTTTAACAATATTGGTTAGTTGAAGTTAACAGAGAGATTTCGAATATTCGACATAGTTTATACAAAACTACAGGATCGGATGAAAAAACGTTTAGCAGTTTCTACATGAAACTTCATCTCTGCTTGCAGGGTTAGTTTCTAACACAAATTCAATTATATTTTATAAGGTCTGTCTAATTTTAATTAAAAATGATTTATTAAAGCATTAATGGTTTTGCTAACGATTTCCACTAAATTCCAATGATTTTAATAATTACAATGTTCACAAAAGTGATCATGCATAAAGGCTAACAGAGATTTAGAGAATGGATTATTTTTGAATTTTACTTTTACTTTACAACCAAAAGTTTTTATAAAAAAGACTATTTTTTATGTACTGTCAAAAGAGCGTTTATAAACCCACGTGTTTCCCAAATTTTATCATTGTACCGTTTAAAGATGTGTTATATTGCGGTATTAAGGAGGAAAAAATAAGAAAAATAAGAAACTGTAATTTTTATTTTGACATAAAAAATATTAAGGTTTTTTTTAATAATGAAGTTTTCATTAAAATTAAATGACCTCTATAATAATTCAAAGAATGGTTTAACTTGATTTTCTAAGAAATGGGAAGGAAAATGAAAAAGAGAGGTTTCATTAATTTAGTAAATTCATTTTGAAAGATTTACGTTCTGTGCGGAAAAAATACCAAGAAAATAATTAATGTTTTCATAAAATGTAAATTATATCTTCATAAAAAAATATTATTTTTAACGAGTGGATATATATCGGGGGAAAAAATATAATTTTAACGAGTTGTTCTTGCTAATTTGTTGATGAATGGTGTAGAAAATTGAAAGAAAAATGTGCTTATAAATTAGGTTAAATAATTAGACTTAAAATTTTTACGTTGCTAAACAAAATGAGAAAAAGTTTAATTAACTTATCATTGATAATGATTTCTATATGATAATTATTTACAATTACTTTACAGGGATTTTTTTTCCTGAAAACTTCGTAGAGCGGGTTGTTATTTTACAAAACTGTCCCAAAGGACATTTTTGTAACTTAACCTCCCTCTGTTGGGGGAATCATAGCCTCATAGGTCAGTAATGTTGGTCAAAAGACGGTAAAATATATTATAAAAAGTTTCATGTTGCTGAGCGGAAAAAATTGTGAAAAATCAAAATTAATCAATCTCGAATATTAATTTTTTTTTTTAAAGAATAAGATATTTATAGAATGGACTATGGAAAGTTGGAGGTAAAGGGGG